TATGCTTGCAGTAGACACACAGGCAGGCTTTGCCGTAGATGGTTGATGTGTTCCTCTAAACTGAAGGTCAGGAAGGAAAGAGACTGACAAACACTCCTCCAGGGAAACTTATGCCTAATGTAAGGTGGAAAAGTAATATAACGATGCTCTAGCTTGTGGCTATGAAACTAATATTCTGCGGAGCAGCTTTTACATTGCAATATTGTAAGATTAACTTATTTCCCTTACCCTCAGCATGCACATCCAGAAAGAGCTGCTTGACCCAATAGTCCCAGTGTGTGCAGAGTCAGCAGTAAAGAACATGGAATTAGCAGCTAAACGCTCTGGGATGTGGGAGTATCCATTATAAACCTAACTATATATTCCAAGACAACTCGATTGCTGTGCGCTCCAAGTAGGCAACTTCTTTGCTTGATAGTTATATTTTGAAGATGTTGTCAGTCAATAAAATTAAGAAAACCAAATCACTCTTCAAGAAACTGGGGACTATAGGTGATATTCACACAGAAGAATTAGTCAATCAGTAGAACATTGTCCTGGCTTTGGCTGGGATAGAGTTAATTTTCTTCCTAGTAGCTGGTATAGTGCTGTGTTTTGGATTTAGTATGAGAATAATGTTTATAACACACTGATGTGTTGGGGAAGGCGTCTCCCTTGTAAATTGGCTCTCCAAGGAGAAAAGGTACAAAGTATAATTATTAATAGTTTCCGAGAGATGGCTCCCGAACTACAGAGATAACGGCAATGCTGAGTACAAATACCAGATTAGTCTCACAACCAGCCATTTTAGCATATCATAAGCTAGTGTTACAAAGTACAGCAAAACAATAACCTTGACCCAGCTCCCAGCGGTGAGCTGGGAATAAACAGCACAACAGGGAATATATACTGCAAGTAAGGTGTTAGATAACACAACCCTGAGAACAAGCACGACAACTTTGAGAGCAAATTAATCAACACTGTGACCAGTGACTATCAAACTAATATAATGAATGTTTGCAACAAATTTGTTCTAACGCACTCTGGTCACATTTGTTGTTATCTCAACCCGTCGAGCCCCACGTTAGGCGCCAAAAAGGACTGCCGTGGTTTAACCCCAGCCGGCGACTAAGCACCCCCTAGCCGC